TATTGTTTTAAATTTTCTTTTCAATATTAGTCAAGTAGTTGCTATAGGCAAGTTAGCATTTAACTTATTGCAATAGCACATGAGAGATATTGTTTCTTTCACGATATATATCCTGACATATACAAATTAAATAAAGAAATGATATTTATCTACTTTTAAAAAAAAAGTAAAAAATATTTGCCTAAAAAAAATAAATAATAAAAAAAGAAGAAAGATTTATTAATAATAGACTTAGTTAAATAAAATTATATATCTTAAGTAAAAAAGTTAAAACTTATTTGATATTATATAAGAAAGTGTTCTAAAGAAGTAATAGACTTATTAAATTAATTTTTTTTTTAATAAGTAAATATTATCTTTTTATTTTTTGTATTATACTATAGAGTTATATATATGATGAAAGAAACAATATCTCTTGGATACAAAGTATACAACAAAACCTATTAATTTAATTTTAACAATATATAAATAATTTATTTATAAACATATATATTGTTAAATCTTATTTTATCAAAAAATTAAGTAAAAATCTACTATACTAAAAGTAAGTATAAAAATATCTATAATAAATTTAATATGTTATATTGAATTTTATTATATTGAATTTCTTAGAATTTTTATCTTATAATTTCAATATTTTATTATAATGAGATTTGATTATATATAATTGTTTGTTTATAAATATTATTAAATATTATAATATTAAAGTATTATAAATAAGGATATAAGTTTAAAATATTTTTATATTAATAAAATTTTAAAAGAATAAATTATAATTTTAAAAAATCTTAATTTTTTAATTTTTGAATACTTAAAAAATTTATTATTATAAGTAATAATTTAAACTTCTTAATCAAAATTTATAAACTCAAAAAATATTTTAGCTTTTAAAAACTTTCTAATATTTTTATATTTCAAATTAAACTTTATAAATTTTTTTTTAATTTTTTTAATTATTTTTAATAATTATTATTAATTAAATTAATTTTCTTATATTAAATAATAAATCTTTTTTTAAATATAGGTAATTATTTTTGAAGGCAAACCAGAAATTTTTTAACATAATTCTAAAATTTATAATATATATGTATTGTTTAAAAGTTAATTCTGAAAAATTATATTTAGCATTTTTATTGCTTTTAAAAATAATTATCTATATATTTATTTTAATAAAAATTTAATATAATATGAACAGATTTCTTCCAAAAAATAAAGTATTAGAAAAGTTTGAAATCAATTATAAAATTATCAAACTTTTGAACAAAAGTATTAATAAAATTCTCAAAAATAATCAAATACTATTTAACTTTAATTAAGATAGTTTAATAATTTCTTTTTCTATAATATTTAGGTATCTTTTCAAGCATAATTCTAAGAGGTCTTATTTTAATCCAGTAATTGATTGCTTCTACAATTATTTATTTAAGAAAAGTATCTAGTATTTCAAGTAGTTACAAGACTACTATAGATTGTAAATATATAGTTGTAAATATCTTAAACATTCTTGAATAGCTTTAAGAAAAATGGAAATTAAATGATTCACTTAGCTACAAGTAATCAATCTTAAAGATTATTCTATAGAAATTTTATTTACCAAAAAAGGTACTATTCCCAGTTCTCTGCTTTAAAAACTTCTCTTTAAAACATTACATAGTTAAAATAAAACTTATATACTAGTGATATTGCAAATAAGCAGAGCTTTAATACATTTGTATCAATCTCTATCCAACTGATATCTAAAGAAATCTCAATATAGTTTAGTATACATAAGTCAACCAATGTTATAGTATAGTTTATATGCAGAAATATATATGGATATATATAAATATTGACATTAATAAAGTCTGCTAAGCAAGGTCTATGTTAGCATTTAATTAAAAAAAAATAACAAATAAATTATATATGATCTTTATAGGGTATACATTTGATTAAACTGAAACCAATAATATACAGTAATGTTTGATGATCAAATATTATTTGCCATTATGATAAATACCTGATTCACTTTAATCAATTTTGACTATGCTATCTTTTTCCTACCAATATGTCTTTGAAAGAGTTTTCAGAAAGGAATCATGCTCCTGAAATGCTAACTAATAAACATAATCTTAAGGTTGATATATGGGTGTTGGAAATTTAGTTGTTTCATGTAGTATTCCTAAAGAACTTTTAAATTTTAATACAGATTTGTGTAATGACTTCCCAAGTAAATGATCAACTACTTAAAATGCTCTCAGTCAGACCAAAGAAATATTTAGAGTGGTAATTGTTTATGATTTGTTTCTTGACTTTTTTTTTTGTTTATTGTAATACAATTTTAATAAAGAACAAACTTTTAGTGGTTTAAAAATGATGATTGGTTGATGAAGCAGCGTAAGGTACTTGAGACAGATTTAGACATTGACCTTAATGATGAACAGGGTTGGATAATGAAAAAAAGGTGGTAATTGTATTGTAATGTAATTAATTACTGTGCATCGCTAAATTTTAAAAAAGAATTATTTTTATTCTGCAAATGCAATAAAGATATTTAGCAATACTAAATTACTAATATCGGATTTATATACAGTTTACCCTTGCTATAATGGATCTGTCGGGCTGAAAAAATATATGGTGTAATAATAAAATATTAAATTTGTTCCAGAATATTTCTCCGCTATAACGAGGGATCCGGTTTAACGGGGTCCGTTATAGCGAGGGTAAACTGTATGCGATAGGGTTTGTCGTAACGCTCAAGTGATTCTTTTATTCATTGATCATCAGAGATAATGTTCTAACACATTTCACGGATGTATAGCGATATGTGTGAAATTTATTAGTAAAAGAAAGCTTTTCAGTGATAATAAGACATTCTTAGCTAACTTTGAGCAAATGATAAATAATCCAAAACAACTTTCTATTTATGGCTGATTGAGCAAATCACGCGATTCAGCAGACTATTCCTCGAACCACGGTAGAAAAAGTAGCACAGTTCATTTTTTCTGTTACCATTGGTAAAGGCCAGAATCTTAGCATTTTTTTCTCTGACTCTGAAAAGGCATTATAGGATCAATGTGGATGAAAATATGGGTATATCTATGATAGGAAGAGTTAAAACCTTTTCATTATCAACTATAACGGCTTTGTCTAAGGATGACAGTACATGCTTCGGGGCAGTTTAATGTACTACGACACATTACTGCGCCAGGGAATGCATGTCCGGCAATACTGTATCTAAAAAATAGATTAAAGTTTACCCAGTTCGGCCATTTATTTTTATTTTTTATTTGATCAATACTGACACCGCATAATTAGTGGACATTCATGTCCAAAATTTTCTTATAAACGCCTTCCTTGTACTGTATCAGTGTAACATGCGATGCAGTATATTGCATATGACATAGCATTATTATATTTTTAAACTGTCGTTAATAATGGATTTTACTGAAAGAATGCTAAAAGCATCGTTAGGTGAAATTTATTAATCAGTTGATTTCCATTAATATTTGTTGAAAATTATTTTTAATTGATTTGAGTTACATTCTTTACTTTAACTACAACTACAGACTGTAGGCATATTTTCATTAATCTTTTTGAGTAAATTCATATCAAAGGTGTTTAAATGATCTGAGTTATATTATTTACTTTTTAGCGGGTATGCATATTATCATCAAGATTTATTGAGTAAATTCATATCAAAGGTGTTATAATAGATATGATCTATATTCTTTGATTTAGGAGGTAAACATTTTTTCATTAATATTTGTTGAATAAATTCATATCGAAGGTGTTTTAATGGATCTGAGTTATATTCATTGCTTTTAGGAAGTAAGCATATTTTCTTTGATATTTGTTGAATAAATTCATATCAAAGTTGTTTTGTTCTTTACATTTAACTACGATTACAGACTGTAAGCATATTTTCATGATATTTGTTGAGTAAATCATATCAAAAATGTTTTAATTGACCCGAGTTATATTTTAATTTAACTACAATTACAGACTGTAAGCATACTTTCATTGATATTTGTTGAGTAAATTCCTATCAAAGGTGTTTTAATTGATCCGAGTTATACTTTACTTTAACTACGATTACAGACGGTTAGCATATTTTTATTGATATTTGTAAGTACTGTAAATTCATTATTAAAGGTGTTTTAATTGATTTGAATTATATTATGTACTTTTAGGGGGTATGCATATTTCATTAATATTTGTTGAGTAAATTCATATTAAAGGTGTTTTAATAAATCTGAGCTATATTCTTTGCTTTTAGGAGGTAAGCATATTTTCATTAATATTGGTTGAGTAAATTCATATCAAGGTGTTCTAATTGGTCTGAATTCTGTTTTTTACTTTTAGGGAGTAAGCATATTATTATTAATATTTGTTGAGTGAATTTATATCAACGGTGTTTTGATTGATCTGATTTTTATTTTTATTTTAACTACAATTACAGACTGTATGCATACTTTAATTAATATTTATTGAGTAAAGATGTTTTAATTGATCCGAGTTACATTCTTTACTTTCAGGGGGCAAGCATATTTTCATTAATATTTGTTGAGTAAACTCATATTAAAGATGTTTTAATTAATCCGAGCTATATTCTTTGCTTTAGGAGGTATGCATATTTTCATTAATATTTATGGAAATTTTTATATCAAAGGTGTATGAGTTTTATTTTTACTTTTAGGGAGTAAGCATATTTTCATTAATATTTGTTGAGTAAATTTATATCAAAGGTGTTTTTATTGATGGATTATATTCATTAATTTTAGGACGTAAGCATATTTCCATTAATGTTTGTTGAGTAAATTTATATCAAAGGTATTTAGTTGATCTGAATTATATTCATTACTTTTAGGAGGTAAGCATACTTTCATTAGTATTTGTGGAGTAAATTCATATCAAAGGCGTTTTAATTGATCTGAGTTATATTTTTACTTACCTACGATTACAGACTGTAAGCGTATCATTATTATTATTTGTCGAATAAATTCATATCAAAGGTTTTTTAATTGATCCGAGTTATATACATTACTTTTAGGGGGTAAGCACATTTTCATTAATATTTGTTGAGTAAATTCATATCATAGGTGATTTAATTGATCTAAGTTATATTCTTTACTTTAGGAAGTAAGCATATTTTCATTAATATTTGTTGAGTAAATTCACATTAAAGATGTTTAAATTGATCTGAGTTATATTTTTTACTTTTAGGGAGTAAGCATATTTTCATTAATGTTTGTTAAGTAAATTTATCTCAAAGGTGTTTTGATTAATCTTATTTATATTCTTTACTTTTAACTACGGTTATAGATTGTAAATATATTTTCATTATTAATATTTGTTGTGTATATTAATATCAAAGGTGTTTTAATTGATCCGAAATATATTCTTTGCTTTTAGGGGGTAAGCATATTTTCATTAACATTTGTGAAGTAAATTTATATCAAAGGTGGTTTGATTGATCCGAGCTATATCCTTTACCTTTAGGAGGTAAGCATATTTTCATTAATATTTGTGGTGAATATTCGTATTAAAGGTGTTTTAATTGGGTTGTATTATATTCTTTACTTTTAGGAGGTAAGCATATTTATTAATATTTTTGAATAAACTCATATCAAAATGTGTTTGGGTTATATTCTTTACCTTAACTACAATTACAGACTGTAAGTATATTTTTATTGATATTTGTTGAGTAAGTTCATATCAAATGTGCTCTAATTGATAAATATTTAGGGGGTATGCATTTTTTCATTAATATTTGTTGAGTAAATTCCTACCAAATGTGTTTTATTTAATCCGTGTCATATTCTTGCTTTACCTACGATTACAGATGGTAATCATATTTTTATCAATACTTGTCAAGTAATCTCATAAAGATGTTTTGATTGATCTGAGTTATATTCTCTACTTTAACTACTATTACAGACGGTTGGCATTTTTTTTTTAATATTTTTTGAGTAAATTCATATTAAAGATGTATTAATTGATGAGTTATATTCTTTACTTTTAGGGGGTAAGCAAGTTTTTATTAATATTTTGTGAGAAAGTTTATATCAAAGGTGTATTAATTGATCTGAGTTATATTCTTTACTTTAAATACGATTACAGATGGTAAGAATATTTTCGTTAATATTTGTTGAGTAGATTCATGTCAAAGGTGTTTTAATTTATCTAAATTATATTAACTTTAACTACAATTACAGAATGTAAGCATATTTTTATTATTCTTTCATGAGTAAACTCATATCAAAGGTGTTTTAATTAAACTGAGCTTTATTCATTATTATAACTACGATTACAGACGGTTTGCACATTTATTTAATATTTGTTGAGTAAATTCATATTAAAGATGGTTTAATTGATATGAGTTATATTCTTTACTTTAGGGGGTAAGCGTATTTTTGTTAATATCTTGTTGAGTAAATTCACATCAAAAGGTGTATTGATTTATCTGAGCTATTTCTTTACCTTAACTACAATTACAGACGGTAAGAATATTTTTATTAATATTTGTTGAGTAGATTTATATCAAAGATGTTTTAATTTATCTGGATTATATTCTTAACTTTAACTGCAATTACAGACTGTAAGATTATTATTATTATTATTTGACGAGTAATTCATATCAAAGGTGTTTTAATTGATCTGAGTTATATTCTTTAATTTTAGGTGGTAAGCATATTTTCATTAATATTTGTGGAGTAAATTCATATTAAAGGTGTTTTAATTAATCTGCGCTATATTCATTACTTTTAGGAGGTAAGCATATTTTCATTAATATTTTTCGAGTAAATCCATATCAAATGTTTTGCTTTAATTACGATTACAGACGGTAAGCATATTTTTTACTAATATTTTTTGAGTAAATTCATATAAGAGGTGTTTTAATTGACCTGAGTTCTATTCTTTATTTTAAATACGATTACAGACGGTAAGCATATATTTGAGAATTAAGTTAATATTAAAGGTGTTTTGATTGTCCGAATTATTATTTACTATTAGGGAGTAAGCATATTTTTATGGATATTGTTATTTTAATTGAATTACATTTTGCTGTTTACCATCATCTCTAATACTTTTGATTTAATTATTTAGGTGTATGTAACCAATGTAAAAATCAAAATACGACTGCTTTCTGGTGTCATTCTTGCAATTCTTTTCGTTTCAAAAAAGAATTTGATAACTGGACAAGCGGAAATAAAGATGTTGATAATTTTATGCAAAAAGCGCAATTAGAAGCAACAAGCAGATTTAAGACACTTGAATGGATTCCATACGAAAAATTTGATAATATAAAAAAAATTGGTGAAGGTGGTTTTGCTACAGTTTATTCGGCTGAATGGAAGGAAGGATATATTTTATATTGGAACAAATATGGTCGATGGAAAAGAACAGGGGAAATAAAGGTTGCCCTAAAATGTTTAAAAAACTCTAAAGAAATATCTAAGGAATATTTGGAAGAGGTAATAATTTGATTATTAATGAATGAATTTTAATCCCTTTCGTATCGCGCAATAATATTAAGTATTTATTAATGTAATCATTAAGAAAGCTTATATAAATTACCTTTTCTGATAATAAATTTAGGTAAAGAGCCATCATAAATTAAGCGGTGAAAAATCTCAAATTACTCGATGCTATGGAATCACCAAAGACAAAAAATCGAACTTTATGATTGTTATGAGATTTATAGATCATATGAAGACAATTTACGAGTTATCGTGGGAAAAGAAGTTCACGCGTTTACATTATACTGCACTTGGATTATACAAAATTCACAAATCAGGATTAGTTCATCGGGATTTGCACCCTGGAAATATTCTTTTTTCTAATAATAATGATGATGTTTACATAACAGATTTAGGATTATGCAAACCAGTCAATTCTAAAGAGAGAAAGGATAAAATATATGGAGTTCTTCCTTATGTAGCGCCTGAGGTATTGCATAATAAGATACATACGAAGACTGCAGACATTTATTCATTCGGGATGGTTATGTACGAAATATTTTCTGGTGCTCCTCCTTTCAAAAATGTGGATTGTAAGGATAGGCAAGAAAGCAAAATCCTTGCAACAAGAATCTGTAACGGGGAGCGACCAGAAATTCAAGGTCTGCCTCCTTTAATAGTTAAATTGATAAAAAAATGTTGGGATGCTAATCCAGCAAGAC